CATCCTGAGTTTCTTTATGTAATGAATAAATACTGAAATGAAAGCTGACACTGTTATGTTGACATGGAGGAGTTCAACGTCTTAATCTTGATTAATAAATTTGTTTTCTGTCATTAAAAACTCATTTGGTGATCTTTAAATGAACCTCCGTCTCTTGGGGAAAAACTATTGTGCCAAGTTGCTTAGCATGTGGCTGTAAAACTCTGACGAACACTGTCGCTCTGCCTGGGAGCTTTTTTATTCTGAAAGTTTTAATAGAAGTGCAACCTGATTCAGTCATTTTCTAACAATGATTATTTCAGACAGAGGACGACATTAGCAGGCAGGACCGTGGGGTTTAACTGATCAAATGTGATATTGTGTTCAAATTCAAAATGTAGGCCTATATCAATTCAGTTTTATGCTGGACCTTGTGGTTGATAATAGCAGTTTTTCACAAAGGACGATGGCATCCTTCATAGGAACATCCCGGCTCCAAGAAAAGTCCACTAACAACCATTAAAATCACAAATTGTGTTTCGTATATACCTCAATTTTGCGAACATCAGCTACTCATCAAGGAGGCTAGCGGCAAAAGCCCCTGACTGTTAGGACTTGAGTAATGGTGAGTTTTGTTCCTTATTAATTCAAATAATGTTCATGTTTAAGAGGAACAAAGTCGTATCCTTTGGAAGCGCTACTTTAGCTCGGCATGCTAATGTTAGCATCATTACATCACATTGAGAGCAGACGAACACAAAAATCCACTCTATAAACTTTTTCACATTTTTCCCATTATCTTGTTGAGAATTTCAAAGCTTACTGCCGTGCCTAGTTACGGTTGCTAAGCTGTGATTGGATGATGACTGTTCAGGTGAGGGGCTCTGCAATTCATCTTCATCAACACAAAAGAACAAGTGATTTCACATTATAGCTCACAGCTTCATCTGTCATCAGCCAACAGTAGACTGTGATGAGGAGACAGAGCAGAGGATTGTGGGCAGTTAGTGTCCAACCATTCCTCCAATCAGCAGAGCTGGACTGGGTCACATGACACTGGCTGTGTGAGTGAGACGCTCTGTGTAATTATCACCCATTGACACAGTGTGAGCGTCCCGTCTGGAATATGAATGAGGAAGATAAAAATACTGAGATCACAGCGACCCGAAGCCTCTTACCTGAAGGAATTATCAACGCCTCGACTCCCATCAACGTCCTCTCTGAGCCCTCGCTAACACACAACAATTATCTGGACGCTTTGCCTCCTCACTTCTTCAGGCTGCTCATTTCCTTCCTATTAGAGGTGAATTCCTGCTGCTAATCCTAAACACATCAGTGTGTCGCAGGTTAACAGAGACGGTATGGCACAAAGCCAGACCTGCTAATGATGTGTAGCTTTTATCCATGCAGCTAATAAGAGTTTAACGATGTGTTCCTAATCTCATTGGAAGCCTCCTCCCTGATATCAGAGGTCCAGGCGTGTTGTCATCACATCCTATTTACTGTCATTTTATACAAGTAGAAATTCAGCTTCTTAAACTTCCTGTTTAGCTTTGACCTCGCTAAAATATGCTAATCCAAAACACAAAGAGACATCCTTGTAAACGAAATCCAATCCTTTCGTTTCAGCTCCATCCAAAGGCTGATATGTGACAAAAGAAGCTGAAGCTCTTTGGAGGTGATTGAAGGAAAGCCTGTTAATTGCTGAGGTTGTTTTGGCGTCGAAGTTTGAAAGACGTATCTTATATTCCTGGTATTTTGAGAGAGACATTGAGTCATTTCCTCCGCATATCGTGAGGGAAGGGGCTCTTTTAAACAGTTTTTTATATAAAGACCCCTTAATAAATTAGATGATTTGTGAGCTCTGACCATTAATCTTTTAAAGAAAGAAATCGTCTGCATGGTTTCCCATGTCAGTTAAGCTGCCCTTGGCTCTGACAAGCCTCATTACGCCCTGCAGAGAAAAACCAGCCGAAGGCCCCCGCTGACTCGCCTCGTCGAGCCCTGACTGGCAGGCTAATGGCCCGCTGGATAATTATGCCTCATAAGCTCCTTCTCCAGGGATTGAAAATAATAACACCATCATCATGTCACGCATTCAAGTGTAGCCTACTTGCAATTAACACAAGATGAAACGTTAAAATGCACACATTTTGCAGCTGTTTTTAGTTACCATGGTAGCAGCGGTGGAGAAAGAAGTTGAGACATGAAATAATAAAATGACAAATGACAAGATGTGGTTTTATTGAAGTTTACTTTCTAGCCAATAGAGTGACTTCTTGTATTCTCACTGATTCATCCTGTTTCCAGTATTATGCAAAGCTAAGCTAATTTATTGATGTTTTCAACGTCAAGACGAGAATCATATTTTTCCTCGAATTGTAAAAATACTCCTTTTAAAGCTTTCAAGCTGTGACATACAAAAAAAGGAAAGGTAAAAACAAGTCATTTAGAGTGTGCTGTGCTGGTAGATAGAAGCTACTTCAACGCCACATGATAAATGCAGCTTAAAGTTACATTAAAACAAACATTCATGTGTAAATGTATACTTTCACAGAGACAGGCGTGAAGTGAATTACACTGATCTGAAACTATACAGGCAGTAAATACATCCAGCTGATGGAGACATAATGCATTGCACTGAGCTATCCGGTAGAAGTTTGTTTATACAACATATTGGATATTGAGCTATTAAAACCTAAAGAATATATGGTAATTTAACGTTCATCATCATTTTTAGTCTTTTTATTTCATTATAGTGTACAATAATCGATGCCATTTCATATATTGTAATATCACAGTACACTCACTACAGCCGCACATGCCCACACTAACGAAACCAAAAACATTTATAAAAAAAATGCTTCTCAATATAACTTAAACAACAGAGCCATGAAAATGAAAATAAACATAAAACGAAAAAAACGTTCATCATTTAAACTGACAAGTAAAACTGATTTGACACNCCGGGGCACACGTGGGTGGGGGGGGGGGGGGGTTGTTCGGAACCTTCGGCGTAGCGGGTGGCGCAGTTCGAGGAAGTATTCCTACTCGAGTAGCCCGCGAGAACGACGCACGGTCTCAACTTTACTCTCCGGAAGACGAGACACACGTCCCGGTCGCATCCAATCCGCAACGTACTGATTTACCTTAGTCTTTTCTTCTCCTTTTCGACGAGTCTCGGACTATTTATTTTGCCCCCGACAGGCAGAACGTCTTCCCAAATAACAAAGCGGAGAACTACGACAGGCTAGTCGGGCCCAAAGTACTCGTGGTTCTCCTCAGATGCCAGGCCCCGCCCCGCGTCATAAACCTTTCAAGTATTGTAAACAAAACCCACAAGACATTAGACCTCACGAGTTCAGACAAACCGGACGTGTGAGGAAGAATGGCGACTTAGACAGTATTGTTTCGCCCCTTCGTGCGTGACATTTAGTTAAGACGGCCCGTCGTTGAGTCTAGCGACCTATTCTTACAAGTTTCATTTGGTACCGTCCCTCTCTGTTAGTCTTTCCGCATCCCCCTCTCCGCTTATCGTTGAGGTCAGTGTTCGTCCTCTAAAGGGAAACCACCGCGTAAGTGGCATGAATACGTAATAATTTGTTCCCCCCACGTAGAGGACTTATGTACAGACTTGACGGGGTGAGGATCGTTGTCACTTGTACGATCTATTTTTATCTTCTCCCAAAAATTTTTGGTTCTCTTAAATATTACTTTTCATGGGACTCTATCTCCGTCTCGGGGGTTGTCAGGTGACTTCCCTTAAATCCTACGATTTATCAACGTCGAGACGTAGGTCTATGACGTTTTATTTGTGTACGTATTTTACACACCCGACGAAGCACTGCGAGAGAAATTCCGCCAAAATATGAACCGATGATTACTTTCTTCTTCGATTATGTTTAAGTACTTCTAGTTCGACCGTTTCCAATACTCGATAGTGAGGAAACACATAATTTTTTCTTTCAAAATAGTTTGGAGTATAAGAACTCTGTCGAAGTAAAGTAGGAATAGAAAGTAAGAATCTTTGGGAGCGATTGATCTATTGAGGTCTTACTTAGTAATACGCATACAACCGCAGACGATGACGTAAGGACGCGCTCAGCCAGGACCACAGCACAAGCTACGAAGGGAGGACTGTCACTTTGCCTAAATAAATGTTCTTGACTACTTGTCTACAGTCTTATACTTTTCAGAATGGTGGATGTCGGTAACTTCCTCAAACGTACTTACCTCGACAACTGCTCGCACTAGACAGGTTTGACGCGGCGTTAAACGACACTGCGTGCGTCCAGAACTACTTCTACGTCGTACGATTGAAACTAAAAGGAGTCCGTGCAAAACCCTCTACACCTACACCGATACACACCTAAAGTGTTTCTAGAAAGTCGTCTACAGGGAATAAACAACACACAAACGAAAGAAAACACGATACCGTCGGGTAAACATGTCGAACGCGAGATTACGTCCTCATGTAAACTAGTCCGGGAAGAGCACCATACCTCTACTCCCTGTGTTTGTCCGGGTTGTATTCATGGACTCGTACTGTCCGTCGGTTAGACTTCGTCCTGTCACTTTGCAACTTAAGGAACCTTTTACTTAAAAACGAAAACCCACACGGTTAACCGAGGTTGTAACGGTACAGATGCCGCAATGAAGATGAGAGTCCTGGGAGTTTTCTATTGGCTAAGTTCATCCAAATCTTTGGTGTTCTGGCACTTACAGACACTCTACTCCCATTACTGTCTGGGAGATCAGTGGAACAAACGACTGGCAGGTTAGCTGATGATCTGGAACCAATGAAAGAGCCACCTTGTCTAAGACACATTATTACAACTGTCTCATATGGCTTAATGGAAACCAACACCACTCCCTTTGTGGAGAGCAGAGGAAGATAAACACTGGAGACCGGAGAAGAAGTCAACGTTAAAGCAGTGAACTGGAAGCGTAGATAAGACTTCCAGTATGAGACGTCCCACCTTGTGAAAGTGGAAACTGACTTTCTGTTTGGAAAGTGAATGCAACAATAAAGAAGGAAATAAAAAGCTGTACCAAAAGAGTGTGATTGAGACATTTAGATGTCTGCAGCAGCAGGAGGAGGAAGAGGAGGAGGCGGCACGGGGGCATCCATGAAAGAGCACCAAATGAATTACTGATTGCAGAGAGCTCTAATAGCCCCACGCTGGCCACACTCCATTACAGTCATTTCATACGCAGCTTTTATTACCTCCTCCTATTACAAACACACACACACATTCACTTTCCCACACACACGCTCTCATTCCCACAATGCATTTCAATTCAGTGCACGTCAACCTGCAGGATCTCAGTTTAGTATTTGCATGATGAGCTATATGCAGGTACTCTTTTCTCCGTATTAACAAAATGCATGGTTCCTTCCTCACGAGCACGTCACACGGTCATACACGCTGCAGAAAGATGCAGCAGAAGCTCCTCACACACACTCACACGCCCACCTCAGCTATCAGGAGCCGGCTCTGCGTCTCACAGCAGGGCCCCTCTCTCAGCGAGCAGCCGGCAGTGTGTGCACCCCCCCATTAGGCCATGTGCGAGGAGCTGGGGAGTGTCCAGGCTCTGGTTCGGGGCTTAGCCGTGATTAGGGTCAACAAGCAGCACATTGTTAAACACACACACACACACACACACACCTTACTTTGACCGTGCCCGGCTCAGGTAAGGCCCAGGGAGCGGAGTCAGAAGATATTCTGGTCTGCTTGGTGGAGACCTGCTCAGCTGTGGCTGACCCTAAGAGAGCATCTTCACATTTGCACATATCAAATATGATCTAAATGCTTAGGATCTGTAACCCTAACTGTAATTTACAATAAATGGTAAATGGACTGTATTTATAAGAACTTTTCCAGTTTTTAAAACGTCAGCATTCACACACATTCATACAGACGGCACCTGCTCAGGAACACTAACACTCAGACACCATTTGCTATGCCATCGGAACCAATTTGGGTTTAAGTATCTTGCCCAAGGACTCATCAACATGTTGACTGAAAGGTTTGGGGATCAAACCACCAACCGTCCATTTGGAGGATGACCATCTACCTCCTGAGCCACTGCCACCCTCTAAACTAAAAGAAAGTAAACAGAAAATATATTCTCCATGAGTTCAGACCCCTTTACTCTCACCTGAGTTGTCCTCCACCTCCCTCTCGTCAGTGCACACCCCCTGGCCATGCATCAGAGAGTGCAGCGGCCTCTCGACGCCGTGTGGCGGGTAGCAGCGGAGGCCCGTGGTACACCGGGGCGAGTAGACGCCACAGTGGGCCCCTTTGGGCAGGGCGCAGGTGGGGCAGCAGCCACAGCCGGGCTCCCGCACCGTCTCCTCGCAGCCGTCAGGTAGGCGGCAGCTGGCCAGCCTCTCCTCGGTGCACAGCGGGCAGCGGATGGCCTGGTCCGACAGGCACAGTGCCAGCAGCGACAGGGCGCCAAATGCCCAAAGGGTCCAGCAGGACGGAGCCGCTGCCCCGCCACCTCCACGCACCATGACAGCCCTGGCACCTGCACACAATCCTTCTAGGCTCCCCTTTGCCTTCCTCTCCCCTCACTTTCTACTTCCACTGCAGATTTGAGAGAGAGGTTTGAGAGGAGCGCTTTGTCCAGGACGCTCTTTGATATTTTCAGCTGGTTAGTGTTTCAATTGCAGGGACACAAAGCCTCTGCTGTATTGCCTCTCTGTTCCTCTGATTCAATTTCACTTTGCAGAAATTGGAGCCAGCTTCTGATGTGCGAGTGACGTGGTGATAGAAACTAGTTTTTGTTACGTTAGAATGAACAGGAAGGATTTCCAGCACTGTGTTCAGGTGAGTCTTGTTGTCACTCCGATTTAAGTCCAGAAGCTCGCCCGCCCTCGAACGAGCCCCCAAAAAATCCGGTCTAAAATTGTCCAAATGCAGAGCAGGACATGAAAAGGCAGTGTTTGAAGTAACAGCTGCAGTTACCCCTCTTGCTTGTGTGCAGTGTAAAGGCTCCTGAGAATGGCTCAACACGAGTGGCTCTCCTTGGACTTTATACTGGTCCATGGACACGCCTCTTTCTACAGTGAGAAAGAAGCTGAAAAGCACAGCAGAGAAAAGCCAGGCTAAAGCTCTCTCCCTCTGTCTCCCTCTGTCTTACTCTCACACACAAGCTTACACACACTCTCCCTCACTAGTCCTTTCTCAATCCTGAGTGCATGCATGGGAAAAATCAACCTCTCACTTGTTCACACACAGGTTTCTCTTATCGTCTTCAGTCATAGGTGTTCGACTTATTTCATCAAAAAAATACCTGTTTATATGATGACAAAAAAAACTGAGAACACACCAGTCCTGTTCCACTTTAATAAACCCCAAATGCCCGAAACACACACTCACACACTCTCACACACTCTCACACATGTATGTGCCTCGGGGGTCGAAACATTGTTCAAACAACAAAGCAACCTCAAGCCTGCTCACTCAACAAGGTGTGTGTGTGTGTGTGTGTGTGTGTGTGTGTGTGTGTGTGTGTGTGTGTGTGTGTGTGTGTGTGTGTGTGTGTGTGTGTGTGTGTGTGTGTGTGTGTGTGTGAGACTTGTGCGTCAAGTGGTCACTCTGTCTATCCCCCTCATTATGTCAGCCCCCAGATCTCTCTCTCTTTCTCTCCCTTGCTACTAACGGGAGTGGGCAGCTATAAAAGGCAAATGGACAGTCTATCCACCCCCCCTCCCTCTTCAATGCCCCCCAGACGATCCTAAAAAAGCCTCCCTCCACTGGGATCACAGGATAACTTTGAACAACGTTTCCAAAGTGGGCCAGTTTATGATACGTGTGTGTTTGTGATCATGAAAGAGTGTGTGAATCAGCGTGTGTCGGAGATATGCCCTGCACCCAGCCTTAAAGGGTTTGAATCATGGCTTTTATTGGTCGAAGTCTCATTCTTTTTTTTTTCCTATTTTCCTTGGCCTCCGTTTTGCCATGGAAACCCAGCATGTATTGTAATGCCTTTGTGAGAGCGCTTTTTTTCAGCTCTTTTCCTTGGGCTGGTAGCTGGTTGCCATCGGCGGACCATGGGCCGCAGCCAAGCCTCAGCAGCACTCAGGTGGTGCCGCAGTGTGTGTTGTTGTTGGTTACATGGCATCTACATTCCTCATTACTCAAACTTGATCAGAAATAACATTAATGCCCGTTATTCAGCCACTCATTGCATCCCAAGGGAAATATTTGAAAGAAAACGACATCTGTTCAATTTCACTTAAACAGCCCGTCTGGCATCGGGCAGTTATTGGAGCGGCTCACTGATCCTGGAGCTCACCAGAGAGCCAGCAGTTTCATTATGTGTCATTTATGAGCAGTTTTATTTACGAGGTGTGTTTCAAGGATTTATTATTGTCATTATACAATACAGGATTGCACAATGAAATGCAGTTGTGTGGGGTGCATTCAGGACGGTTACTCAGAGGTTAGCAATGCCGTTTTCTAGGTGTTTGCCAACGAGTCGCGTTTAAATGTTTGTCTGCTTCATATTCCACCAACAATCTTTGTAATTTGTTAATCTCTATAGAACTACAACCGATGTGTATACACATTTCAACTTTTTTCAAAATAATTGTTCTGCCTATTTTATTACAAAGTATAAACAGATGACGTCAAATTAGTTGAATAACAACTCTGGCAAGACACCAGTTGTTAATTTGCTGTTTATGGGCAGTACTTTAACCATTTGGCCAATAGCGTATCTATTTATCTGTGTGTGTATTTATCTCACGTAACATGAAGGTTACAAGACATTTATTAGGACAATTTCACATTTGAATCACTCCTCCAGCCACCTGACCCATCTCATCTTCTTAATAGCTAAATGTAATAGTGGTACTACAAGCGCAGATTATTGTCTCTCAGTTGGCATTTGCTCTGTGGGATGACATCAGTTGTTGGATATGGTGTGTTATTGATGCGGTCCAGGAATGGGCTCCATATTTTCAGTTATGAGAGTGTGACTTGTTAATCTTCTATCTTGGATGTTATTCCACCCACTGCTCGAATAATGAGGGTGTGACAGTTTTCCATGGTCTCACACTTATTCTGCATCCTGTTAACACGGCCAATGGCCTGTCTATCTCCATAGAGGCTGAATCATCATGTTAATCGTTATCACATAGCTGTCATATTCCTAAAACAGTGTGTCCTGACGCTCTTCCAGGTAATCATACATCCTGTTGCGTACACAGTTACAGTTGGGCCTTTTTTATCATGTGCTACTCTGAGAACATTCAGTATTTTCCCAACAGTCATTTTCATAGATCCTCAACATATCACAGTTTCATGTGTGCCATGGTTCCAACATCTCAATGACAATGCCAACATCAGAGGTCGAATATTTCAGATCCTTTTACTTAAAAATAGTAATACTATGGTCTTCAATTACTCCATTATTAGAAAAAGTTTTAAGTTTAAAAACTTGCTTAAGAGGTTCAGAAGTATTATCAGCTAAATGTACTCAAAAGTATCAAAAGTACTCTGTATTCAGGCTCTTTTCAGCTTGTTATATTATTTTAGAATATTATATTATCCTGTTTTTATTACAAACCAATACATTGAAGTACATTTTAAAGCCGGTTTAGACACTTTAAAATACAGGATAGCATTAATATATGAATAGTATAGTACTGCATCAAATTGTTCAAGTATATCAGATGTGTTTCTATGGCGGTTGTTTTTCAATCGGAAATACCCATCCCCTGCAGTTCACATGTCGATTTATCCTTGGGCGATATACTTACCCCAATGTTGATCCCGACAACATGGCCCACGGTGTGTGAATGTTAGCTTTCTTGAGCAGGTTGCACCTGGCATGGCACGTCTGTACGAAGGGGGTATGAATGGGTGAATGATGACATGTGAATGTAAAGCACTTTGTGGAGTTGTAAAGACTGGTTAAAGCGTTATATAAATGGAGTCCATTACAATTTACCATTTAAAGTGGACCTATTATGCTATATTGGAAAAATATATTGTAGGGCCATACCTATACAAAACATGTCTGTCAAGTGTTTTGCTTAAAATACCAAACAGTTCACCCATTGTAGCCATGCCTCACACTGCTCATACTCCTCTTTTTTCAGCCCTGTTAGAGAAACCCAGATTTTGTGTCCTTGGCTTGAAAAAAAAAAAAAAAGAGGAGGCGGAGCTAATGCCTGATCAGAATTCTACCGGAGATAAAGTTAAATTCTGCTGTGATAAAACGCCATCCTGTTCTAAAGCACATCAAGGATTATTTCAGCTGATCGTTGAAGTGCTTTCTCAATTCACACCTCGCCACCATGTCCGTCTTCACGTCAGCATCTCCACTTGCCCTCCATCTCCTCTCCCGACTCGTGTTTCGTACGGAACTCCGCCAGGGCACGACTTCCAGCCTGGCACCGTCCTATTCACTACTTTAGGAGTTGGGTTTTTTTGATTGTTGCGGGTGCTGCGATTTGAGTGTGTGGTTTTGTGTAGTCCCGCTATCTTGGGGTGCCTCCTTGATTAGACTTCGAGACTATGCCGGGAACGCTCCTCGACCAGGTGAAGCGGGGTGTACGATCTGGCAATTCAGGGTCGGTGTTCGTAGAGAGTGGATATAGCACAGAGAGGACTGGGTTCACGTGAGGGTCCAACCCGGTCTTCCGTCACTACCTACTCCCCGATACCGAGTCAGACAGCAGGGGCCGAGACATGCCGTTGACGTCCCCAGTCTCTCACTATTCCAAAGACTATTGGTGATTTCGTGAAGTACTACTTACCTCCACGTCACGTGTCCCCGGCCTTAATCTACAATTCCTCACCAAACTAAATACTTAAAACCTGGTATCTTGCTACCATCTTTATATTTAGTATCACATTGTTGACGGAGCGGGCCGAGATGATGAGGTGAGGGGTGCAGTGCGTGACGACGTAAGCAGATATGACTGTTATGCTGTTTGTTTTTTGGTTGGAACGACGCGAGCATGAGAGTGAGTACTGAGGGAAGGTATATCGCGCGTCGGAAGAGGCGAGCATCGGCAGGTTTACGAGTGGTGGTAGCTAAAGGATCCGCATGGGGCTCAAGACGGGTTTACCAGGGTTTTATACAATAGTATGGGGCGTAGATCATCTAGAATGCAAAGGATAAACGAACAAGGTCTGTAACACTTAGTTTCGGAGGTCTGAAAAACAATTTTATGTACCTATTGGGTTTTGCGGGAAGGAGGATACAAAGATTGTAAACCCAGGATAAAAGAGTGGACTGTGAACCATAGCCATTTCATGCGCAAGGAGTTGATCGGAGATAGGGTATTGGGGTAGGAGCGAGGAGATAAAGGATTGAGGTCGAAGGTTATGTATTTATCGTATGAATATCGTGTTTGCGGAGGCATTCCTCGCTCCGCTTCTCTTTCTGCTTTTCTCCTCTATGGATTGTCCATTAATTCTAACTCTCTATAGTTAGCATAGTTGAGTTGCTTTGTGGATAATTTGTTTGCTAGCATCATTACTATCTTACACGGTGGTCGACATAGGGGAGTAGTATGCCCAAATGTGACTATTTTTGGTGCTATCTGTCATGGGTATGTAACTATTACATATTTTATAAATATTTATTCCTTAGGAAAGAGTACAATTCTAGTCCTTATGTTTACGTACTTTTCTATTTTTTGTCTTACTTCTTATTTGTCTATATACCCATATTATGTCATTCGGATTGTTTAAATTTATTTTGTTTATTATTATTTTTCTTTTACATTCGGAAATCTTACTAATTCGTTGTATTTCATTAAGGGTCCTTCGATCGACTCGTGAATATTAAAATATTTTACTGCGATTATATAGTGAGTTAGAAGGTCAACAGTCTATAAGGGAGTCTAATATTTTCTCTGGTCTGACCACTCCACCTCGCCCCGAAATATGCGCTCATCACTTTGTGAAGTCATCAGACTGGCGAACATAGGGAGGATACAGCAGAGGAGGCGGGAGGAGTGGAGTGATGTGAATGGAGCTCGTGTGTGTCAGTTAACATCTATAACCCTGCTTTTTGCTAGGAGCTTTTACGAATCCGTACTAGCTAAGATCCCAGTTCAGGCCTCCTTACCCTTCTCTCTCAGCTCTCGCCCATCAACCTACTCCGTGACTGCGAGTTACTGAAGACGAGTCGTCACCGAGTCAGTCATCCCCGAACTGACACTCTTGTCATCTGATCTGGTTTCTATATTTAGAGGCTTGTGTCTTGTATTATGTACCCACGTCTGATTTCTATTGACTTCCTTCTGTTGGGTTTAAGGTGTGGAGTAGTTATTGGGTTAATGTGTCGTGACATTGATTCTGGTCCGGTTTGTTATGTGCAGGAAGATTATTTTATTTTGTTATCTACTCCTTATTGTTGTGTATATGTATACTTTATTCATGTTTCCAGACGTTCCAGCGAGACGACGCATGGCTGTTAATTTCGTTCAAAGTGTGTCTGTGTATAGTATTGTTTGTTGTCAATTAGGTGAATTTTTTTCCGTATAAAAGTAGTTTTACATGTTACATTGTATATTGGACTTTGTTGTTGACAGCTTTCTTCGTAGTATAACTTTTATGTCTGTTTGTTATCTTTTTTTATCGTACTCATTAAAGGTAATAATACCTTGACAATATTGAGAAAAGTGTAATAGGTATTATAACTGTATTATGTGTTTTCTCTCTGATATAGTACTTGTTTACGTGAGATACACAGGGCAGCCAGCCCCTTGAGTGCGTCGCAGTCTTTTTTTTCGAGTAGAGTAAAAGGAGGTAGAGGTTGAGAACATTTTTGTCCCCATTTGCTCGCCTATGTCTAACGTCGGCTAGACTGCAGTTTAACCGTCGCCTGGGTGTCTTTTCGGTAGTCTCTGTTACGGCTACAAACCTGCTTGGCAGAAATAAACGAATCGTTCCGAGCGATGGTGCAGTCTCGATTGACATGACATCATCCGTTACAGCAGTTAATTTTTCGTCCTTATTTCTTGTCCTTTAGTGGAGACTATTTGAGGCGTCTCTTTTTTGGTAAAACTCGAGGGGTATCGANCACACACACACACACACACACACACACACACACACACACACACACACACACACAAACAGTTGAAGGGAGTGCAGTCCATTCAAAATGACCACAGTAAATCATTCGATTTACTGTGGTCATTTTGAATGGACTGCACTCCCTTCAACTGTTTGTGTGTGTGTGTGTGTGTGTGTGTGTGTGTGTGTGTGTGTGTGTGTGTGTGTGTGTGTGACAGAGGTATATGAGGAAGGAACATGAAAGGATAAAAACATGTCTTATTCTGGGTCACAGCTGCTGAGATGAAATCACACACACTCACAAACACACTTGTAGCCTTCTGCCTACCCCTAATTCCCAATAGACCTACACACACACACCCAGCGTCTACTTTACAAGTCCCCTGAGAGCCCTGTCACACGGGGGGGAGATACAGAGTATCGAACAGGGATGTACGTGGAAAACACACATGAATAGAAACAATAAAACGTCCTTCATGCTTTTATTCTCAGATTGATACAACATGAACATTTCTGCTCTGATTTGTGGGTCAAGCCCATGGAGAGAAACTCTCCCAAAAGACAAGCAGATTTAATTTCAGCGGGAAAAAATGACATTATTCATTAGAGAGAAAAACAGAAGGTTTTATTTAGCTGAATCAAATTGTGTGGGCTTACCACATGCAGGTATTTTATGCTTTTTGTGTCGTTTGTTTGGACCTCAGATAACAGTGTGTTTTGCAGCTAAAGCAATTGTGTTTAAATGCTGGAATAATGCTGCATTAGAAAGGCAGCTAACTTAGAATTAGCAGTAAGACGGGGTGTGTAATTAAACGAGTTGTCGCTCATTTACAATCCAATGCATAATTCAAGCGCATGAGCAAAGAATGAAGTGGCTGTAACTCCGCTCTCCAAACAGCACCTACACGGCAATTACGGATGAGAGATAGGTGTGTGTGTGTGTGTGTGTGCTTTTCTGTGTGTGCATTCACTAAGTTAATGGCTGTGTGGACGCGACGGTCTAAATGTGTTCATCTGTAGCATGTTATCCTGGTTCACCTCACTGAGCCACTGTCACGCGGCAAACTCACACACACACACGCTCACCAAGGGAGATGGGTGAGAGGAGGGAGAAAACGATCCGCTAGCATGACACCAGTTTGAAAAAAAGTAAGAATTCAGTGAGTTCTTCCATTTCTTTCACCTTTTAGATGTGTCATGGTGCTGTGCGAAATAAAAAGGTTAAAATGTCCAATTACAAAGTGAAAACCTTATCACATTATGCAATCGGGGAGAGAATGAAAGCCATGTTTGTCTCAATATAAAGTCAATAAGCTCTGAACTATTTGATCCAGAGAATTATACATGAGACCTAAATAATAAAGTAATCCTGCTACAACTCAACAGGAAATATGAACCTGTGTTATTGAGACATGTTTTATAATGAGGCTGCATGTTGGGTTGAATCCAAACTTTTGCCGTTGCAATATTTCCTGGGATATGAATCCATGAATCATAATTAGGGAGACAGATTGGACTTCACTGGTATGTGCTCCCAGAATTTGGCCATTGACAGAAACATGACTTCTAAGCATATATATTAATTGATTTTTGTTCTTGACCCCCCCCCCCAACAGGAAGCATTTTATTTTAGCTGCAAACGGAAATTAATTTATATTACAGATTAAACATGTATCTGATGCTTTATACGCCTCTCATTTTGTAAATACCAAAAAGGCGAAAGCAATGTCAGTGCGGTGTCGGGAGAAGGTGAATAAAATCCGTTTTTTGTGCAGCTATTCAAGATTTTCACCTACGCAGAGTTGTATCCTCATTCAGTGCAAAGATATTTGCTGTACACTAATAAAGGCTTGAATGGTTTCCTGGAATTCAATTAATCAGCCAGCAGTTTGAATATTTGTGTCTATGAAAACATTCAAGTTAATTGAAATGTACAAAGTGCGCCTTTTCAGCATTTCTTAGCCTTTAACACTTTAATTATGAAGAGGAAGAGAGGGATCAGTATCGGATGTTCACTTGTCTCCCCCTTGTGGCTATATAATGCAACTATGTCTGAGTCACAGTTTAGTCAAGTTAATACAAATACAATTCAGAGTGAATAAGAATAAGAATTTGGACAACATCCACAAACAAAGACGTATTTATTTAACTTCCTAATATGGGTAGATTTAACTGCCCACCAATCACATAATAATGATCTTGGAGCCCATGGAGTCATTTATAAGAGGACTATAGTATCTGACAGCAAAAGAAGTGGTTGATGCAGTCAAATATGTACTGCATATATATTGATTGTGACTTTTTGTGCCAACTGTTTTTGTTAACAGATGACCTAAGCAATATCTGTTGCTATTGTGCTGCACAGAGGAAGGAGTACACGTACTGGGTACAAAATATATTGAGTTACAATCATGTTAATCATAGATTTATAATAACTGAAACAACATGTGGGGGGGTGCCTCATGCTGTCTACTGATGACGTAGGCTGACACGTGTTTTGAAGTAGTTCTGAGTAACGGTGAAATAAATACTTTACATTTTGTTCTTTTCGTGTTGTGTAAATAATTATGTAATGCTTTGGAAAGGCAAAGAATAATAAAGAAAAATATATATGTACATTTCACCTTTATTTTTTATTTTACGATTGCAGGGGGAAATGATCAGTCCATGCATAAGATGTGGACAATTTGGTTTAGGGTAAATATACTCTTCTTTATTTTTTGAATAAACAGTATGTGCACAGTTGAACTTTAAAACACTTGAACTTATAATAGCAGGGATTTCTCATTGCCAGGAAAAAGGGTAATTGTATTCAGATAGTACAACAGAAACAGAGAGGGGACTTGGTCAGCATGCAAATACAAGGTCTTAATTATCTTCAGAAAATCTGCTCTGCCGGGAATGGAAAACCTTCTCAGATCAGATGGAAACAGCCCCTCTTTAGTTTTTCACCTGCTGAGCCCAGAGTAACATGTTTTTGTGTGCACAAACTACAGGTGAACAGAAAACACCAGTGTGATTTTGGTGGGAGTACAACCACCCTGGACAAAGTTATAGTGGGGGTGCAAAACCAGGCAGCACCAACACCTGTTCTGCTGAACATGGGCTGTAGAGAAACCGTGCAGATCTTCCCTATTGACACCTTTTCGGGGGAAAAAAAGAGCATTAACAGTGTAAGAGAGGCAACGATATAATAACAATAATACATTTTATTTGAGGGCACCTTTCAAAACATTCAATGTCACCTTACAATACACTAATAAATAAAATACGAGTGGCATTACAATACAAAAATGTGTTCATAGAAAACCACAGAGGAAAATTACATTCTAAGGAGCAATTCAAGTGAGTAAAGCCAGTTTTAAACTAATTATTCATTAGGCTCGATTTAAAATAACAGTGTCTGACTATATCATATATGATATCATTAGACCTACTTGTCATATTTTACGTATTTTGTATTCGTGGTTATCAAGTATCAGACACTTACTGACAAAACACATCTTATCCTTTCACCATGTATTCTGTAGGAATAAAACATAAAAACATGAAGTTCATCCCAATATGAAAAATGTTACAGATGTGTAAATTGTCCTTAAAGTGAGCCTCCTTGCAATTGTATGCACATTATTTATTCAGCCGTTTGCTGTTTAATCTGATGGGAAAGATATCGATCAATCAATAAAGTAAATCATTGATTTCGTTCTTTCGCTTAGAAAACTAGACGAAACGCCCAATAACTGAAATGACGTTCCTTGCGCGTCCCCGCGGACACAACACCGGTGCGTTGCGTCCATGGCTGCGTCCCACCAAAACAGGAAGTTTTTAGAGTTGACAGGCTAGCTAACTAGCCTGCAGGTTACATACGCATGTTTTATGTTTCTAGTGTTTAAATCGTGTGGACTATCTTTCAATGCCACAGACGACCAACGATAAACTCGACAGCAATTGTGAGTAGTGTGCTAACCGGCTTCTGAGTGCAGTCTTTAATTTAAACGAGCATTATGTTAGTGGGTTGGAATATTTGACGACTAGCTAGCTAGCTGATAAGCTAACGTAAGCTCGGTCACGAAGCACAGTAATATCTGTCAGGGTGTTGTTTCTGCATTATGAACTACGGGGTTTGGTTTTGAGTTACAGTGCTGTCTGCAGTACATTGTCTGAGCGTTTCGTGCTTTATCATCTATCTATCTTAACCCTATAGAGACTGTAACATGCAGTTATGGAGGAGCGAAAGCTAAAGAGAAAGAGTCCCAAAATCTCCACCAACACACCGGCTCCGACCAGTGGCACTGCTGGCCGGAAGAGCAGTGCTACCTCCGGGGGACGGCAGGTCGGCTCCAGCCATAACGCAGGGACTCACTCCAGCCAAAAGAGCAAAACTAGGAGGTAGCATCTTATTATTTAACCCTAGTTGTATATCATCTTCATCAGATATACACAATGACAGTATGTGGAGTTGCTAGTCTGATCTGTGGCACAAACTGTAACTATTTGTTTGTATCTTTTTCCAGGGGAGTAAGAGACAAACCCAGGCACCCAGGTGTAGGTGGTAAACCTAACCAGAAGCAGGGGCAGGCAGCACCTATCATCCAGCACTCCTTTCTGACTGACGTGTCAGACGTACAGGAGATGGAGAATGGCCTGCTCAGTCTGCTCGATGACTTCCACTCAGGGAAACTACAAGCATTTGGTAATTCAGACCTCAAAGGGACACTCCACACACATGTCTTGAGATATAAACAAAACTGTAGAATCTTAGAGAGACATCTAGTGGTGACTTGGACCCAGATGTCTTTTTAATGCCTGATGTAAATTCATTAACATATGTGGTTGTTTTCAGGCAATGAGTGCTCCATTGGCCAGATGGAGCATGTGAGAGAAATGCAGGAGAAACTGGCCCGTTTGCACTTTGACCTCTACGGCGAGGTGGATGAAATGCCAGAGGACCAAAGGAAAGTGGCCTGCGACACCAACATGGACAAACTACTTCTTAATGTAAGACTGTAATAGCATAATATGTTTTTAAATGAATCCATTTTTTACACTTCTTATTTTAAGATTTATAGTCGTTTTCCTGAATTGCTGGAAATACCTTGTGCTGTTACGTTCTGGGTAAAGCTTGATCCGATGTGACGACTCGACATCGCAGAACAGATTTAGCTGCTTATTATCCTCCTGTGTGTTAAACTCTTTAAGACTTTAGTAAGCTACTTGTCGCAGCATCAAGTATATACATTCCTTTACATCATCATGACCAACGATTGCAACCAACCGCTGACATGTTTAACAAAATGTTCTCTTTCTCCGCAGCTTGAGGAGCTGAGTTCTTCTATGTATCCTTTTCAATCTAACATTCACCGGTCTTCCTGCATCATAGTAGTCCCTTATTTCTTTTAGAAGGTTGTTAAGTGAAAGATTTGTCTTCTTCATTGTTAAATACCTCACATTCCCCGAAGCTTTTTTGCCTTTAACCTACTTCTCCAGTCAGAAACTCAATCTAGCCGACTCCCAAGAGATCCCGAGGACTGCCAGTATAGAGACCCCTTCTCATAACCCCGTCTGAAGCCAGCTTGATGCACTTCTTCTTCTTCTCTCGAGTATTGTGGCAGAAATGGCACCCCAGCTGTTCACCAGCGTCGTCCGTACAGCAGGATGGATGTAACAACAGGGATGCACTTATTTTTGGATGCTAACAATAGACATGATTTTAATTTCAGCACCTTTTCTGATGAACCCTAAACTGTTTCTCGTATAATCAGTGTTATATTTAGTGAGGTTTAAGATCTTTACATTACTATCTGACAGTATACTTTACACTTTGGTATTTGGTGCATCCCTGTCTTGGCCAGTTTTAAAGTCAAGTTGTAGCCAGTTCCCTCACATCCGCTCTGTCTGGATTTGCAATACATAGCTAGCCAAAGTGACATTTGATATGAAGCATTCTCCTTGTTTGGTCCAAAAGTTGATGAATTCCTTCAAAGTGTTTATCAGCTTTGTTAAATGTGAACTGACTGCAAACGTGCTCCTTTAGCACTTTTCAGATATATGTGAACTTACTCTGTTGCACTTTGTCTTATCTTTGTCACAGGTCAGTGTCACTCACAAACTTAGGACCTAGACATTAACTTATCAATATATGTATACAGAAATTCTTGTTTTGAACTATTTCCCATAGCTTGTATCTAATCCTAGACACAGCAAAAACCTACTTGTATCCTAATTAGTTAAATTGATTACATTTAAAATGACATATAAATGCACAGTAGATTCTGACCATGTTGACTGCGCCGTATGTTATTAAGAAAAATAACCCAAGTTTGTGATTTTGCATATGATTTCTAGCTACATATGAGTAGCCTGATATCTACTACAACACCTTGTTCAGTGTTGAATATATATTTGCACATATCCATTCAATACGCGGAACACACTGCACATTTTCATTGGTGTGATGCTGGAAAATGCTGAGTTATCCAAATGTTTTCATCACAACCATGCCTTAATGTTTTTCATTTCATCATTTTTGCCTTATTGGTTCTTACCTTCTAATCAAACTTACATAGAGCGGGTTTGGATTGTGTGGTTTTAAAGATCATTTGATGCTGCTTTGATTGTAAATCTTTATTTTAATCAGTGTTGTTAGGGGATGTGGGATTATTCAGAAGTGTTTTACTGCTTTAACTGTTTTGTGGTTTGACTTTTATTGACCCAATAAATGTGTTGTCTGAATCTTCTGGCTGTAGCATTTAAAGCATTCATTTAAAAACATTGAAAAAGGGAGAAAAGATTCTATTCAAACTGTAAGTGAAGGGATAGTTGGAAAAGGGGAAACGTAAGCCAAAATGCATTTGTATCATACTTTTGTTATAACATTACTGTGTAGATTGTAATTGTATCTTTTATTTTTCATTTATTTTATATACTTGCAATTTACCCATAAAGTCATCATGTGGTATGAGTAGTAGGGGTTGGGGGTATGAAAAAAATGTAAATTCGTGCCTGAATGTAAGGTAAGATTATTATAAGGATTAGTTGTAAGCATATTGTAAATTATTTTTTGACATTTTTTTTATTGCATAATTTGCTTGTGAAAAGTCCTCTTATTCCTTACATATTCTACATTCATAAAGTCATCATCAAATAAGTTTAAAACAGGAATTTACAATGTTATTGACTTTTGTTTTGCAGAATATCGTCTGTTTTCTTCATAATGATCATGTGCCTTTGTCCTGTGAAGGAATGTGCGCATCCTATTGTTGACGCGTCTCTAAGGTTACAGGGAGCAGTGGGGCAATGGCAGCCTGGTACTCAGCACCTGCTTTTTAGTGAGTTAAATCTGGCATTGAATAGGAGTTTGCACACTTAAACAGAATTCCAGGCGTTTTCTCAAAGCGGGTAATCCTGTGTGAGAACATGGGGTCGAGTCCTCACTCGGTGAAGCGGTGGCAGCTCAGCGGGACGGACTATGAGAAGGTCCGCAGCACGAGCTCTGACACGCGCCTCAGCTGCTGGACCCCCCTGAACAACAAGAACAGCAACCTGCAGGTAAAAACCGGCAAAAACTTAGCTCAATAAACTTTATGATTTATTTTAATTATAGCCACAAGATGGCAGTAATCGTCAAATTATTACACTTGCATGCAGCATGTGGTTTGTAAGGATTTAACAACTATATTTTTCCGTGTTATCAATAATGCTAGCACGAAATAGCTAACTGCTGAAGCAACATTCCTTCTTAATATACATTTTTTTACCATTTCATTTATTTGTAGAAAAAATTGTTCACATACAGCAAGCTTTCTCTCTTGAACTAAGAGATTTAATTACATTATCACTTTACCTATTGACCATGAGCAATACAGAAATTATATATTTATAAATAATGGCAGTGCTCCACAGATTTTTAAAAGGAAGGCAGGACTTCCATCTTTTATGAATAGGCTCCATTAGAACAGTGTTTTCAGCTGTTATCACACCATCAACCCAACTCTTTGTTCTCGTTATTCCTGCAGACTTCATTAGTGTTTTGGAGAGCAGTTGTGTAGCTTTTGGCAGAGCAGTCAGACTCTTATGCAATCAGGTTCACCTTCCATGTATTCTTCACTTACTTTAACAACTTTGTTGATTACCTTTTCCCTAGTTATTTGAGGAGAGGATGACCCTTGTGCTGCACTGGTTTGACCTGTGGACTGACAGACAGAGGAAACACCTGTTGCACTCTCTGCTCACACGTGGCACCAAGTCACAGCTCAAGTAAGGTCTCAGTTGCTTTACTTTGGGGCTATATTATTTCTTAACTTTTGTTAGATGGAAACCAAAGATTGTGATTTTTAAAATGAACCTCTGACAATGTGAGCAGGTACTGCCGAGATCTTCTGATGGAGACGCTTCCTGTGACACAAGTGGACTTCACGGCGGTGTTGCCACGCTTCCTGTCCCTGTACGTGATGTCATTTCTGTCCCCTCGTGACCTCTGCTCTGCTGCTCAGGTCAGCTGGCACTGGAGAATGCTTTCTGAGCAGGTGGGAGACCCAGAACAGACAACTTATTTTCAACTTTTATTTAGACTTTATTCATATTTCATTTTATTCTGTCCTCTTCCTGCCCAGGACTGTCTGTGGGCGAGCCGCTGCATCACAAGAGGCTGGTTCCTTCCCTACACTCCAGCAGAGAAAGAATATGGAGCGTGGAAGAACCACTACGTCTCCTGCGTCTCCACCCTCGACTGGCTCACTCCACGGGAGGCAGCCGAGCAGTATGGGACCCTTAACCAACAACGCACATTGATGACAGAGGAGGAGGAGGAGAGGAGGAAGGAGAGGAGGATCAGGCAAATGATCAGAGACAAGCTACAGGAGGATAAGAGTAAGTAGAAAAGAGATCTGCTGTAATCAAAGTTGTTTTTACCTTATGAACTATCATTTGGACTCTGGATGAAGCTGAAAAAACAAGATACATTGCCTTATCACAAAGCTGCTAAGTAAAAATGGCTTCAGTTATCTCAGAAAACTCCTACCATTGTTTATATCTGTGACATTTGCAGGGCAGTCTATGAGCACCAGGAGAGCCTGGGGCAGCTACACAAAGCCAGGAGCAGCCAGAGGAGGAAGTACCCAGACAGGGAGGCCCAGCTCTGGAATAACATCTAGCTCTTGGCCCTCACTCTCCTGGCCCCCGAGGACTGTAGGGTCCCCCAGCCTCTGTCTGAGCCTGGACAGAGGACAGACCACGTCTGCAGCTCCGAGCCGGGACAGAGTCCAGACCTGCAGTCCTCCCAGGTGAGGGTCTACACACTGGTTGGGACATATTTGACCCCCCTCAATTTCCTCATAAACATGTTTTGGCCATACACAAGAATGAATACGCTTTTTCACACAACTGATGACACGTTGGGTGCAAACAACGTCTAGGTGGTTTCAGTAATAAGACATGACGCTGTTATTTGCTGCTAATCGAACCTGTCTGTTCTCTTTCAGTGAAAGACTGAACAATGCAAGTGGAGCACTGTCTTCTTTCACCAGCAGACCTGCACTGACACACACAGTCCCTCCCACCCATCTGAGCCATCCTGTCCTCTTACTGCTGATCTCCAACAGAATCCCTGCCTATGAGGTAAAATAAAAAAGAAGAGCCTATCAGTCAGACAGCCTAAATCACCATTTATTGTGTATGAGAAGAGAGAGGCGATGAAGTGTGTAAAGAGAAAAAAGGCACAGTGGGAAGATGAACATCTCATATTTCTCCCCGTCTGCCCTTTCTCTCTCGTTGTGCTTCATCTAGCTGCTGCTGAGTGGTGTGAAAGCAGGAGTGATTGTGGTTCTGTACGACCACAGAGGGACTCTCTCAGCTCTGTTAGCCCAGGTGGAGAGGGCTATCATTGGGCAGGGAGCTCAGAGGCTGGGCCTACTTGCTCCTGGAGGAACTGAAGAAATCCATCTGCTTCACAGTAAGAGTTAATAATCCTGTGTATCTTAATGTGTGGAAACACTGCCAGGGTGAGTTCCTGTCCAACTGTATCTCTCAGGATACTGTGAAGCACATCTGCTAAAACCATTTCATGGATACTTTCATTTTGATAGTATTTTTCTACACTCAGTCCATGACTATCCTGGTCCCTTGGCTAGGAGTTGGCCCAAGACTAATTATCATAAATCTTGAATTGATTTTACATTATGCATGGACTCACCACACTAACGTTTTTAATCTTTGACTTTTTAGGGTGTATTCTGTCAGAGAGGACTCTGCTAAACCCAGATCAAAGGGATTTCTGGGAAAAACTTAGTGGCTGGGTGGCACCAGCTGAGGAAGGAGGAGGGATTGACATCTTCTCCCCGCTAGCTGCTTGTGGTAGGTGGACGCTGTTAGAAACACACACTTCTCTGAGTCTGTCTCAATGGCTTCCCTTCTCTGTCTCTTTCCCTCCCTCAGCACCAGGAGCGGCTCTCATCCAGACCCTCTCTTCTCTGACTGGTCTGGAGGTTCGGACACCAATGGGTCTTGCAACTGGAAGTTTTCAAAACAGTACGTGAAGAAGCCAAAGGAAATGCAATGTTCATATTTGTCAATCAAAAATCAAACTGAATTTAAAAACAAAGCAGCTATTCAAGGTGTTTGCTACACTATTAAACCGCACCTGCTGTTGCTACGGTAACCAAATCAACCAGGATTGAAATATAGAGGACTACAACTACGAGACTGTAGTACCCACCACCAAGTGTAAAATAACTGAAATGCATCAGGTTAAAAACACATAAAAGGTCTTAACATCTGATCTGAGGTGAAAGCACTTTGAGCTGCACCTACTGTATGAAAAGTGCTATATAAATAAAGATTGATTTTGTTCATTATTACACCCCCCTCCCCGTCCCCGTCCCCCCTCCCAGTCCTGAGTGAATGGTCTGACGGCAGCGTGTGCACCAGACTATCAAACCAAGGACCATCAGCCCCGGCGCTGCAGTTTGTGTGTGAGAGTGTCCTGCAGGGCTGGTGCAGACAGGCTGAGTGGATGGAGGAGGCCCTGGGGGGGCTGAGGGGCCACCTGGGGCCACAGCTACAGCGGCTCAGCCTGGAGGCCAGGGGCAGAGCTCTTGGTGGGTTTCAAATGAATGTAGATTCAAATTCATACACACACGGCTGGAGCAATTTCAGGTTGAAATGGATGATGTCCTTTATAAATGTTCTGAGGAAACGTCTCATTTGTAGGTCTTTTTCTGTGGGAGAAAATGTGCCTCGAGGAGCTGTGTGTGTCCAGAGATCTCAACGAGGCGCTGATAGAGGGACTCACTGCTCTCACACGACAGAGAGAGGTGGGGATCTCTGTAATACACAAATACAGTAGTGCTAAGAAGATACAAAGTTTCATATCAACCCTTCTAACAGTCCATATAAGTGTTTGTTTCTTTATTTCTTCAGACCAGACCTCTGGAGTTTCTTGCTGGTTTCCTGACAAGATGGACTAATGATAAGGAGGGAGAAGAGAGCAGTGGAGACAAAAACAAAAGAGCAGATGACTTCTCTTCAGCACCACAAAGCTCACAGAAATGCTTCAGCCTGATACCTGAGCCACCACAGGTGTGTATCCTTTCAGTGAAGTTTGATGGAGCATTCTTTGTTTTTAAAACCCATCTCTCTCTCTCTCTCTCTCTCTCTCTCTCTCTCTCTCTCATCTTTAGATAGCGTTAGATTGGAGAGGGGCAGCTGCCAGAGAGCTCCACCACAGTGAGTGTCTTTACCTGGGCAGACTGGGCGCCGTGCTGAAGGTACGCCGTTAACTTGTCAATAATATGAAATGCAGAAAGGCAATTGAACTTTATTTCATTCATAAAATGTCCTAATACCTGCACCTCCTTTGTGCTGAAGGTGTACCAGGAGCCTCTTACAGCAGCGCTCAACTCCAACAGAGCCATTCTGAGCTACAATGACATCCACATGGTCCTCAGCCCTGTCACACAGATACTGGAGCTCAACAGGCACACACACATATTTGTTTGTCACTCTCTTGTTTGCGCCCCTCTGTGAAGACATGGCCTGACGGATGTGTGTGTGTGTGTGTTTGCTGCAGGGTGTTTCAGGTGGATTTAGAAGCCCGGCTGCAGCAGTGGGGCGCAGAGCAGTGTGTTGGAGATGTGCTCGTGAAACTGTGCTCAAAACTCAGAGTCTACACCAACTACCTCAACAGCTACACCACTGCCATCCACACCATCGACAAGGTGCTGTCACCAATGAGCCTTAGCTAAGTGTACAGCGTTCTGAGAAATCCTTAGCCTTTGTTTTAGCTTTTTTAAATATTTTTGTCAGAAATAAATTAATAATGTAAAGTTTTGATTCAATATGATTTATTATTAACAGCAAGGTTCTGTAAAGACACTTTATTTGACACTTTTAACGCTGCTACGGACAGTCTTGCACTAATGCACATTTCTCAAAATTATTGATTGTTGTGCTTTTATTTATTTATGTCTTTAAAATGTGTCTGTTGATTGTGTGTATATATATATAGATATATACATATTTGTATACATATTTTTTTATATATTTTTATTTTCGTATTCGGGATTGTGGGAAACGGTATTTCGATCTCTCTGTACCACACCAACTGAAAGATTGACAATAAAGTTGACTTTGACTTGATTAGTGTAATAAGTGAGCATCTGATGGTGTGTGTGTGTGTTTGTCAGTGCAGGGAGACAAAGCCTCCATTTCGGGCTTTCCTGAAGAGAGCAGACAGAACTCTTTCAACACACATGCTGAGGTAACAACACACACATACACACATTTTTATTTGATATCCAACGCTCACCAAAATAAAATGAATTAGTGTTTAGATATGTTTCAATGCATGTGTTTGTGAAGCCTACAGGAACTGCTGCTGTGTCCATTGTGGAGAATCCAGGAGTATGTGACTCTACTTCAAGCTCTGTGTTTACACACACACACCGCTCACCCTGACCACACACACCTCTCCTCTGCCCTCAACACCCTGGTGACATTCAGAGAATTCACACAAAAGGTACAATGCCCACACAGAGCATAAAAGTAGCACCTCTCGCTACTTTTTAAATGTGGAATCATTTCTGTGCTCAGCGCCATGACAACACATGTTTCTTCTGTTTCAGTTAAAGCGTAACTCAGAGAGAGACAGGCTGATAGAGCAAACGCAGCAGATGATCCAAGGATGCCCGGTAAAGACAGAACCCTCTTTTTGGCTGTACCGAATAGTTGGAAGCTTCTTTTTTGTATTTGTCTATTTATTGTTTTTAAAGTCAGCATGTACATTTGCAGATAAAGATTAGGCTTCACTGCTAGAAGGATACCGTTTTTGTTCAAATTAAATGTTTGTTTTTTTAAATGTGGTGTGTGTGCAGAACCTCAGTGAAGGAAACAGGCAGCTGATAATAACTCAGGATGCTGCCTTGCTCAGGAGCCCTGATGAGCAGATTCCTGACTCGCTCAGGTAACAACACTGTGTGCTGATTTCTCTCAAGTTCTTCATCTGTCATTAGTCAATGCATAACATATCCACCATTGGCTATTTTCACATTTCCCTTGTTCCTATTTTCTTATATGTACCAACCACTGTACCTACAGCTACATGCCAAACTATGTGTCAGAATGTGTGATTATTTTTATGTGTGTGTGATCAGGATCTATGAGCATGTATCAGACGTGGGCCTGTTCCTGTTTAACGACGCATTGGTGTTGACCCGGCGACGTGTTCATCACACACCTTTCACGCTGACTTACCAGAGCACACACACTTTCCTGGCCTCAGTGGCTCTCAGCAGCCTGTCCGTCAGAGAGATCACACACACACGCTGTGAGTTTTTTTTACCATATAAATAATACCAACAGTGGCGAGCCGTCAGGGCCCTCTAGGCCCTCTGTGAGGGCCTAAGATATTCTACAAAATAATATTTTAAAACATTAAAAAAAAAAAAATATTTTTTAATATTCTTTTTAATATATATTTTTTGTTATATTTTTCATTAGTTTTACCAAAATAACTTGATTTAATTGTATTTAAAATAACATTATAAATCCTTCGAATCTGCCTATTCAGTTTATGTTGGAATGTGAAGGGTTAAACGAAAGAAGCTCGTCTCTGCGAGTTACTGTGAAGAGAGGAGCTGTTGGACGTCCAGGCGGTCCAGCTATGAATTCACAGAGAACCCAGCTATAGTAACTGAACGAGAGAGTAATGTCAAATGACAGTACAATTGACCAATCATATCTTCCCTCTAAATGGGTGGGTGTTATTATCGCGGACTTTATGACAAGTTCCGCCCGCTGTGAAACTTTTCTTGTTTCCATAGCAACAACAACTTCCTGTCAACAGCGTTAACTCGCCTTCAAAATAAAAGCATTCCAAATTACACTTAAGACATACAACTGCAACGAAAGTAACAAACACAATGCAATATCCTTTTCAATTTCAAAGAACACAATTAGGGTTGTTTTGTGTGGTAGAGGGTCGCTTTCATTGATGCATTTGCACCCCGGGCCGTTGTTTTGATATTCCGCTAAAGTATACGCTGTGACGTAATAACTCGAGGGAAGGGGTGGGGGTCAGAGGGCCTAGGTATAAAAGTCACGGCTCGCCACTGAATACCAATGATGCAAAAGTCTTTGATCTTGTTGATGGAATGTTGATGTCTCTTTAGATGTGTGTCATGCCTTTGTCCTGGAGGGTCCTTGTCGTTCCTGGGTGTGTGCCACAGAGAGAGGAGAGGAGAGAGAGCACTTCCTGTCTGTGCTGCGTCCCGCCTTAAACGCTGCTCTGACAGGACATCAGTGACGGCACCGGCATGACAACACCCCGGCAGGACAAGAGGAGGTTTGGACACCACTGGACACCACAGTCTGATTACTTTGTTTTTAAAGCTTAGGAAAAATCTCTTAAAACAATTATTTTTCACATGCCGCAATATTATGTAGGCCTGCAAACATGGCTTTCCTGCTACTGTTTAAACTGTGTATCACAATACCACCTTAAAAGTATTTAGAGTCCAATGATAACTAAGAGAAATTAAGTATTTTGTAAAATGTTGCACAATCCTGCTTTCCATCAGGTAGAAGGTTACCAAATGACAGTGCCAGACAAATCAACCAGTATCTCGACACATCTTTGTCAGCTTGATATTTTTAACCCCCTTTTACGGAATATTATAACTATTTATACACGTATATTTTTGATTTACCACTTGGCAGTACACCTAATGATGCTCATTACATATTTTAGTTATTCCTGTACTCGCGCACCGAGAAGCTTTTGCAGTTTAATAAAATAACTTGTAGTTTTTATGAAGTAGTTGTCGAACAGTATGAATCACAGTGGATATTATAGATTGGTTTGTGTTGCGTTTTCCGGTAGCTTTTTGTCTTTTGTGTAAAGAAGCTGTGTTGTACACTCTGCGTGTACTTGTTGTATGTATCAGCCATTTGCATTTCTTTCCCTTGTATATCTATACAAATAATCACAAATTTTACCTTACAAAAATCACTGTTTGTTATTGTTCCTCATTGCACCACCTAGAATTTTGACATACATATATTCCAAGTTTTCAGTGGTAATAAAATATTTCAATGCAATATTTTCAATGTAATGTTTTAAATTGGTTTTGCTTTAAAATTGTATAAATGTGGTAATGGTTGATCAGCACAAACTGCATCATGATATTTATATGATTTCTCAAATCCAATTCATTTTTAGAATTAGATCAGAAATATTTCTCTTCAGGTATAAAAAATCTTTATTGATAACACAAATGTCACATTGAAGAATGAATCACTAGCAAGGAGCTGCATTACATCACATCACTTTTACACTTATGTACATTATTGCCACTTGTTGAAAAAATATCCACTTGAATGAATAAACGACTGTGTCATTATCTGTATGTCTCAACAGAAAGATAATGGAGAACAACATCCCTTTACAGTGAACATCATGACATGCAGTATAACATACTTAATGTTCTAGTATTACACTTCAGTTTCATTTATTTTCACCACAGTGACGTCCTCACAAAGATCTGTGTCATTGGAACTACTTTCTACAATATTATTTATTTACAGAGTGTACACATTACACATCAACACAGAAATCCTTGTCTTCAGAGCACTACAGATGAGGATTGTATTTAATAGTTGAAAGCAGTACTTTTGACACGTTGAATTTTGATATCAATAGATGCAAGTTTTTTTAATGTTTTTTTTAGTGTAAGCTGACCTAGTGCCTCTAAGGATTAAAGAAAACATGAATGAATGTCCAGGGGACATCACAGCCTGCGGTTGGCTAGGTTTGGGTTGCTGTTTTTTTGTCCCGCAGCAGAGTGTGTGTGCGGCTCTTTCCCCTCGGCTGGGTGTGTGCCCGGCGCCTGCTGGCTCTTGTTCTGCAGCCCCAGGTTTGCTGCCGTGCCGTTTGTCACTTTCTGGGAGCTGGAGCCCTTCGGTTTGGGGATTCTCGTAGGTCCTGGTCGACGCAATGCTTCTGGAGGTATCTGTAAAAAGTGGGAACACTGTAAAAAAGTGGGAACACTGTACTGGAGATAAACAGTGCACAAGACAACATGCATGATTTGATCTTGCTCCACAGGCTATCCAGTAGAGATCTGATGTAATACTGGTAAATGACCACTAGATGATATCAAAATCATGTTTTCCAACTTGTACTGCATGACTTCTGCACTTTGGCTTTGAATTCTGGAAGTCAGTCCAGTTTTTGATAGTCGTCAACATTATCTCATAGTAACTAGATATTCAAACTATGATACTAAACTTTATTGTTTTTTTCCCCTGCTGGTTTAATTGTAAGTCAATTTTTTCACAATATTCCAAACCTGCTTATGGAATACATTTCAACGGAAAAAGTATCTGCCGGCATAAAAAAACAAACCAATGATATTGATGCAATCTGGAACCCATTCATTGATACATTTAATTAATAATCACCCACCACCCCTTTCTACTTCTTTAAGGTTATGCTACTATTTATATGCCCCCCCCCCCTTCCTAGGATATATGACTATTATATTGTTACTCATTTCATTTTAATTATAACTTTGTCATTTATCACCCTCCTTTTGTCTGATCGCACACGCACATACACACACACACACACACATACCATGTATACATCACTTCAGGGGACATTACATTGACTTACGTGCAATTCCTGGAGATTTATCCTAACCTTAACCATAAGCAACACATGCCTAACCCTAACCCTTAACCTTACCCTAACCCTAAACCTAACCAAGTCTTCACCCTAAAATTAATGATTCCTCTCATGGGGACCTCCATTTTGTCCCAATAAGGGAGGCGAGTCCCCACACGTGACTGTGTAAACAGATTTAGGTCCCCACAAGTATAGTAATGCTAGGCCACACACACACACACACACACACACACACACACACTGTTTTTCTTTTCTTTTTTTGTCTCCATGTATATTTTGTTATTTGTCTTGTATACTTGTAAATGCTCCTTATTGTCTTCTGTGTATATGTGACACTGTACGTGTATGCACTTGTCTTGTAACTCCGATATCGCTAAATAAAAATTATAATATTCCAAACGAATAGGATACCCCTTTTGAAATTCTACAATAATTACCTGGCCTGTTGTCTGTATTCTTCTCACATATAACAGTGTGAAGAATTGCCCAAAGATGAATACAACATTAAGTAAATTGTTAGTTGTACTCCAAAAAAACTTTCACCATATTAACCTTGTGCTGTATGAAGACTTTTTGTTAATTATTTCCACTAATCTAATACCAAATTATCCATTTATGAATAACAGTGTTAAAGAATAAGAGTTTGTTGCTTAGAAACCAGTGTTTGGCTGCAAACAAGAGGAGGAAATATCATGGGAAACATCAAATTTCTCAGATTCTTAAACAACTTACTGCACCGCTTACTGTGTAATCACATTTCAATCAACTTGTTTACATGAGCAGCAGCGTGCCAGGACTCTGAGGCTGTATCACTTTGGATCAGGCCTTTTACAGTACAACCATATCCTGTTTACTGTGATAAGATGTTTCCACGAGAAAGAGTGACCTCAACAACAGCCAGAGTACACTTGTACAGTATACTACTTCTAAATGTTGCAATTTTTTGAAGGATGATGTTTTCTACCTTTTTCATGTAGTTTAAATGAGCTTTTGAAATAACACTTTTAGTGCTATTTCAAATATAGTCCACACAGATTAAGCCACATGTGTGTGTCTCTACTCCTTTTCAAGTTAATAGTGTTTCTGCTCCAGAGACTAAATGACTCTATAGCTAACCTTGGCAGTCAATAAATTACCATAGGGTCTTATTTGCACATAATCAAATGTTCAGTCACATTGCCCCAACTTGTTTCTTCTTAGTAAGGTAATTGCATTTGGCCATTTCTGATAAGATGCCCTCACCTAAAATATCCAATTTGAATTATTATAACTGCACCATTAAAACATCTGTATGCCTAATGCCTGTTTTAAATCAAGTGACTTTGCAACTAATATAAACTTCAATCTGGTCTGCACTTCTGCAGCTGAGGGAAACTCTTCAGTATTTCCATGAGTTTCATCACCACTCTTTCCCCAAGCAACAGCAAACGACTCGCTTGAGAGAAGTACTTGGATTTGTTCATTTGCGGCTTGTGGGTTTGAGAATTAACAAAAACCTGCAGTGAACTATATCCTTAAATATTCATACGGGGTGTACATTTCAGTATAAGTATGGCCTACACTCCAACAAAGGTAATGGGCCAGAAAATGTGGAAGGGCTCCACGTCATGGGGGTGTTGTTGATTTAACTCGGAGAGAGGCCTTAATGTGCGGCTTTGTTCTCTCGTACATCAGCTCTGCAGCAGGAGTTCAACTAAGTACTTCCTCTGCAATACCGGCCCGGCTGTTTCCATGGCGACTAAACAAGGGGTTTGTTTTGGTGCTAGTGTTGCGGTGGGAGAGAGGTTACTCTCACATCACTACCCTCTCTCATTCACACGCACTGTGATGCCTTTTGTTTAGCGAAAGGCCTCATACTGCTGGTTATTGTCTGTCCCCTCTTTTATTGTGCCTGTCAGTCAAGGTGAGCAAATTCCTCCACCATTATTCTCATAGTGGGCTAAAGGGAGGAAATCCGCTCTCCTGTTCCGCCTGCAGTGTCAAACACACCTTGTCTTTACAGCGTGTAGTGTAGTAATCACACTTTAAACTTACATCATGTATTTGGTGTTTTTGATGTTTTATCTCACCCCCCCCCAAAACCCGCTTTTAGTCTGCATTATCACTGTGAGTTTAGTGTGGTTCACCGTAGGCTTTGGCGTCCGTCGTGTCACTTGATGATCATTTTATCTGTCTGGCAGAGAAACCATTTGCATTTCTGACCTCCTTGGCTGAACCAGACGAGTACACTCTACACTATTAAGTGATGTTATAGTGAGTCAGGGGGTGATTGAGGTCGCAGACAGTAATCCCAGCTGCTGGAGGCTCTCTCATGTCAGGCTCGAGTCTAATGAATAGCACCTTGTTTTGCCCCTGCATCATCTCATTGTGCCCAGACTGCTCTGGATCCGGCTTCTCCAGCTGCTCTTCTCACTGAATCCAATGCTTGATTAAATCATCTTCTACTTCTCACAGTGTTTTTTTTTGTGTGTGTGTGTGTGGGGGTGTTTGAGTTGTTCTGCTTCGTCTAAATAACACTTATGACTAGGTCCATGCTACAAAGATACCAGAAAAGAGTGATGTTGCATCTAATTAAATGGCTCTATTTTTGGAACATGTGCGTAAGAGTTTGGGGAATGAGGATGAACCCTAGAGGTCAAGTGACATTATTTGACTTGACATCTTAGGACAGCTGTCCTCAAATATGGATGCTGCTTCTTTGACACAGTAAACATGGCTGTGGATAATTTAGTGGCAAATTTAAAGCCAGCATATTTATCAACTATACTAGCTAGATGTTGAGCTCAATCAGATATACTAAAACCTTCTGCTGGAAAGAGAGTGTGGCTATATACTTGCATTTATTTCTCTTTCTCTAAATGTCATTTTCTTACATTAGCTTGGTTTTAAGACATGACACTAATGACAGATACAATCCTCCCACATCCTCCCCACTGTCTCCTCACCCACATCCCTCCCATTCTTGTCTTTCTGTCTCCATCCCTTCACCATTTATTCTGACCTTCGGTACAGATTAAAGTGAACAAATCGTATGTGGTGATGTTTCCACTGTGGGAGCATAGAAAACCACATGTACAAGAATGCATATACATGGAGGAACGTTCGTAAGTTGTACTGGTGATTCATTTCAAAGGACATGATTCATGGGAGGAAGCTAAATAAAACAGACGGTTTGGGTTTCTACCCGATGAATAGTGAGAATTGTTGCTAAAAGACCAATGAGGTTGAACTATCAACAAATGCATTAGTATTTCGGAGTTTGGGAAGTTGTATCAGGTTTTCCGAAGGGGCTTTTTGATTAAGTGTGGGGTGCAATTTTGGGTGGCAGCACTCTCAGAAAGGGGAAAGAACTTGGCAGTCTTTATTTTTTCTACCAGTAG